GCTGGCTGGGGAATTCTGGGAGTTGAAGTCCATACAGCTTAAAGTTGCTAAGGTTGAGAAATACTCTTCTATATAGTAGCTTTCTCTGCCAGTCTTGGTTGGGGTGTGGTTTCATTCTGATAGTTCCTTGTTTGGGATATTGCTTCTTCCCTGATTGTTTTATCTGATGTTTCCTGCTTATCTGGGTTTCGGCTGTTAGGGATCATGCGTTCTGGACTGTTTGGTTCCTTCCCTGACTTTTGGGTCTATCTTTTCAATGGTACGTGGACGGGGCTTATCCCTATGGGCCGGTCAGAAGGCTGAGCTTGCAGGAATTCCCTAACAGGTTTGGATTTGGTTGGTCCAAAATGTCAACAGTGTGGTGTAGTGGGTAAAGGCACTGGGGTAAAAGCCGGGAGACTGTGAATCCTAGTTTTGCCTTCTGTGCAAAGCCAGCGGGTGATTTTGGGCCAGTCCCTCCCTCTCAGCCCCAGGAAGAAGGCGGCAACGGCAAATTGCTTCCAAAAACGGGGCCAAGAAAACTGCAGCCCAAGGAGTCGCCAGATTTGAAGGCGCGCACGCGCGCACACACACACAGACACACACGTCCACAATTTAAATCCTGAGCTGCATATATCTACCAGCCAGGTTGTGTCTTACAGAACTAGATGATCCTCCCCCTTTCTCATCTCTCATCTGCTTTCCTCTTATTGACCACCTGAGCACAAACTTAAGCTGACATGGAAGAAGAAGCCGTCTTCTGCCAGGATGAAGCTCGCCCCACCTGCTCGCCCCACCTCCCAGGGCCTCGCAGCCTCTCCAGAAAGTCCTCGGCATCAGCCACCGCCTGGGCGCAGTTCTTGGCACCCTTTCCCTTGACCCAGCTCTGCATCTCGGAGGGCAGGATGGCCAGGAACTGCTCCAGGATCAGCAGCTCCAGGATCTGCTCCTTGGTGTGTCTCTCGGGCTTCAGCCACCGGTGGCAGAGGTACCAGAGCCGGCTGCACTTGGCCCCCTGGTAGTGGAACTGCCGGATGTTCAGCCACTGCATCTCGGTGGGCATGGCTCTGTCCAAGACGTCCTCCCTCGCATCGGCATACCTTTCGTGGAAGGCAGGCAGCTGTCAGCTGGTCCAGCTCCCCTGCTCCAACCTTGCACACAAGGCTCTGCCTGGTCTCCAGTGGAAAACGCCTCCCCTCCCACGGCTTTGGGATTCTCCCCCAGGGCAGGGACCGGTGGCTGAGCAACACCCCATCCTGAATTTAGAGCTGTCCATTTTATTGGGTGCTCCTCTTTGCAGCTGGCCAGGTTCTCACCAGGACACCTTTGGGGAGGTCCTTTGAAACCTCCCACAAGGTGGGACCCAGACGAATCCTGCTTTCCTCTTCTTCTGCCCATTCCGTCTTGGGTTTTTCTCCCTGGCTTGCTCCTTCTCTGCCACTTTGGGTCTTTGCTGCTGTTTCTCCCCTCCCTTGAATTTCCACCATGCAACCTTCGTAGCTTCCTTTCTATCAGCTGGGCAGGGAAGGCACCCGCCCAGCCACCCATCCCAAAGAGGGTCCGCTCTAGGATGCAAACCTTGTTGGGCTTAACCCTTTAAGGGCCTATCAAGCCCACAGGTCAGCCTGCAAAGCAATTCAGGGATAGCCCAAAAGGAAACGTGAGGTCTCCGGTCTGCCTGCAGAGGGTCCCCTGGGGTGGCAGACAGGAAGATGGGCGGGTGCATTTGTTCAAAAGCATAAGTGGGCTCGAGGCACAAAGGACCAGGCTCAAATTATCCTACTTTGGACACCTTCTGCGAGCTCTCTGGAGAAACTCTCATGCTGGGAACGATGGAAGGAAAGAGAAGAGGAGGACCAGCAGCAAAGGGGGTGGACTCAGCCACAGAGGCACTGTTGGGGGACCTGAAGGATCTGGTTGGGGGCAGAAGATCATGGAGAGAATCTGTCTATAGCAGTGTTTCTCAACCTTGGCAACTTTAAGATGTGTGGACTTCAATCCAGAATTCCCTTCTGGTTGAAGCCTTTCCCACAAGTTATGCACTTGTACGAGGAAGCATGCTGGCTAAGAAGGATGGGATTTAACACATCTAATAAAGAAGTGTTTTTCGAACTGTCAACTTTGTGAAATGTGGACTTCAACCCCCAGAATTCCCCAGCCAGCCATGCTGGCTGGGGAATTCTGGGAATTGAAGTCCACATGTCTCAAAGTTGACAAGTTTGAGAAACGCTGCTCTAGGCAATATACTGTATGATCTAGAGGTCTTGCCTAGGCATTTGAAGGGTTAAAATGTTAGAGCTCTCACTGGAAGGCATATCCTAGAGAGGACAGGAAGTGTTAAAATCCGGCTGGCTGGAAGAATGGGAGGGGGAAGGGGGATGGAACGCGAAAGAGGAGAAAACATGAGGGTTCCTTCCGGTTGGAGCGTTCAGCGGCTGCACAGCAGGAGATGAATGGAGGCCGCGTGGTAAGTTGCAAACGGGCGCGCTCGAGGGGACGGGGAGAAGGCGCAGGCCGTGCAGAGTGGGCGGTGGGTTGCAGGCTGTGCGCGCGCAGCGGCGGCGGGGGCGGCCATCAGGGCCACCTTTAAACCGCAGCCTGCCCACTTCACTTTCAGATAAGTTAGACTGTAAACCCCATCCTCCCCAGCCAGGCTGGGGAAATGCTGCACCAGCCAATCTTCCGTGCTATATCCACCGTATGAAAAGCTTCCCGCGTTCGCACCCGGTTTGATGATGATGATGAAGGTAAAG